CACAGGACTGTTGTAGTGGAGAAAATAGGAGGAGGAGGAAGATGTGCTGGATATCTCTGCCACCTTGAGTTATTTGTAATAGATAATCAAGGTGAGAAACCAACAAACAAAATAGACAATGGGCCGTTTGTTCATAAACACACTTCTTGGAAAACGTGGCCTTTTTATGTCTATCCTGGGAAGCTTCCAGATTCCCAGAAAAAGAAGATTGGCTGAGAATAGAATAGAATAGAGAATAGAATAAAACAGACTATAGAATAGAGTAAAATAGAATAGACTATAGAATAGACCGAATAGAATAGACCGAATAGAATAGAATAGAATAGAATAGAATTGTTTTATTGCCCAAGTCTGGTTGGACACACAAGGAATTTATCTTGGTGCAAATGCTCTCATATACATAAAAGAAAAGATACATACATTCATCAGGAGTCAAAAGGTACAACACTTAATTAAGAATAGAGTAGAGTAGAGTAGAGTAGAGTAGAGTAGAGTAGAGTAGAGTAGAGTAGAATAGGAATAGAATAGAATAGAATAGAATAGAATAGAATAGAATAGAATAGAATAGAATAGAATAGAATAGAATGAGGAGAGGAGAGGAGAGGAGAGGAGAGGAGAGGAGAAGAGAAGAGAAGAGAAGAGAAGAGAAGAGAAGAGAAGAGAAGAGAAGAGAAGAGAAGAGAAGAGAAGAGATTTGGCCAAGTGTGATTAAGACAAGCAAGGAATTTGTCTCTGGGGCCGAAGCTCTCTGCCTGCATGCAAAACAACAGACTAATAATACAATAATACAAGAGGGAATGAATAGAAAGTTTTGGCCTTAAACCAGCTCGTTTCGAAATACCCGGAGGTGAACGAAATGCGGGGAAATACCAGAGGGATCTTTGAGGCTAACAGCCCTTTTTCCCCCTTCCTGCTTTCAGGCTTTTTCCTAGCCAGGATGCGAGGTGTGAATGTGAAGCGTCCCCGGTTTCCCACCTGAACAGGGACCCGCGCAAAAGCCTCTCCCAGAAGTTCAGGCTCCTGCCTGGATTCTGTACAAAGCCGCAACATCGTTTGTGTTGTTGTTCTTCAATGATTGTGTTTCAGTAGAGTTGTGGGAACTGGGGTGGGAGGTTTTCGATGACTTTTTCTTTCAAAGGGGGAAACCGGAGGTTGAGAGGAACGTAAGGGGGGAGGGGGAAGGTTACAACGAGATCATCTGATCTTCCCCTTTCCCAGCCTCAGAGCAGAGAAATCCCAGCTGAGGGTCTCCCGGCGTTCCTCCATTAGACATTGGCCGCTTTCACACGACCTGCTTCCCCGGGGGAATCGACTTTGTCTGGCTTCCCACCTCACGCGTGGAGTCCCGCGTTAGTTGGGGGAAGGGCGAGCGAAAGGAGCCTTCGCACATCTGTCCCTCTCTCCCACACCAAATGCAGCTGCTCTTAGCGAGGCGGGTCGTGTCGTGTGAATGCAACACTCGAGCAAAGCAAAAACCAAAACCCGCCACAGGCTGCACGGGGCGAGCCTTTTTCTGGGTCGGGGCAGAAGATCTTCTACCTCCAAAGCAAAGGCCGAGAGAATCTCCCGCGACCGGGGCACGGAGGTGGAGGAGCAGACACGGGTGCAAGGAGACCCGTGTGAACGGAGCTCCAGGTTACCCTTCCCTTCCAAGACTGCCGATTGCTAGCTACTGCCCAGATCATCCGCTGCCTGGATGGGCCCTGTAGTTGAGCTTGTCTGGCTTTGGGAGATAACGTCAGAGCTCGTCAGGGCTTGGAAAGGTGACCACGAGGAAACGCTCAGCTGTGTTTCGGACTCGAACCGACCAAGTTGCACCAAGATTGAAAAAGACGTCTAGTCACTTGGAGGGGACCAAGTTGCTCAGGAAACATAGGACACTTCAAGGAATCGATTTCCCTGTGTGTGAACGTGCCTTCGTGTTAAAGGCAGAAAGTAACTCAGGGGCATTGGGTTAGAAGTCTTAACCTGGTCTCCTAATTAACCTAGTTTTTGCCTTTGCAAACTGCCCTCAGCCACCCCCAAACCAACAAAGCACGCTAAACCACAGAAAAATTAACCCAGATTCAAATTAACCCAGGTGCAAATTACTCTAGCAGAGCCATGTATTAACTAGGTTTTCTTCCCTGCCCTGATGGAGCCTGTGTTGAGAACGCAGGCCCTGTGTAAATGCGTGTCGTTATATAAAATGTGCCCACCTGGATAAAACCTACATTTTTTTTTCACAATCCCCACAAGGTAGGCATACAGTACATCTATTTCCATTCTGTAGCGATTACTAGAAAGATTAAGCTCCCTTTTGGGGTTTATATGTGTGGATTATACCTGAAGGGGAAGTATTATAATCAAATGATCACACCCTTTATTATTATTCAAAGGAAAAGGGCAAAAATAAATGTTCGGTTTTGTTCAATAAAGTGAAGGCTAAAATTTCCAGCATGGTGTAAGTTTTCCAGAGCTGTGCCTGACATCAGATGTAGAATATTATCCGAAGAGAAAC